CAGCCTCGACCTGCTGGGCTCCGGCGATCCTTCCGCCTCAGCCTTCCAAGTAGCTGGAATCACAGGCACACGCTACCAGGCCCGGCTAATTTTTTTTTGATTTATTGTAGAGATGAGGCCACACCAAGTTGCCCAGGCGGGTCTCGAACCCGCGGGCTCAGGCAATCCACTCACCTCAGCCTCCCAAGGCATGGGCTTACAGGCTGAGCCACCGAGGCCGGCTAAGCCAGTGTTCTTAACCACCACATAAAAGCCCATCTGGCAGAATACCATTACTACCACCAGGAGTTACCACTGTATACACCCCACTAGGCAGGAGATCACGAAGCCTTTTGGGTGAACAGTACGATGGGTATTCCTGCTTAAATGCAAGAAACAAGCTGAAAGTGTAAGAATCAATTTTAGAAGGAAGAACCTTTCGTGAAAGTATCTTCAGTTTCTCAATTTGGGGAGCTGAGACAGGGCAGGGGACACCAAGAATCTGAAACGCCACTAGGGGGAAGTATTCCTGAGGGTGGTTTTTGCCAGGTGCATCTCCTGGGCCCATTAAAGTAAATCCTATTTCTCAAACCACAAAGTATTATTTTGCTGACGTTGGTATTAGATAGATCCTGAGACCTTATCTGGGCATCAGCTTTAAAAGCAGTAGAAGGAGTCTGCCAACTGGCTTGCAATGTCATTTTGGCTCTGTTTGAACTGTGCCCGACCACCTGGTGCCCTGACTGCTCTGGTTCTCTTCTGCCAGGTGGCTGCCTCCGGAGAGGGCTCTGCCATCAGCGGCTATCTCAGCCGGTGTAAGAAGGGCAAGCGGCACTGGAAGAAGCTCTGGTTTGTCATCAAAGGCAAAGTCCTCTACACCTACATGGCCAGTGAGGTAGTGGTGATTCGAACTCTCCTCTCTCCTGTGAAGGCCCTCAGGTTAAGCTCATGCCTCAGAATGTCCACCTGGGGTCTGCACACGTCCTGTCACCTGCAGGGCTATCTGAGTCCCAGCTGCTGGGACTAGTTCTCGTGGCAGTCACGTCTTCAGTGAGCAGGGCTGGGCATTGTGCTGGGCATTGCTGAGGATACCAAAGCACATGCTGCTTCCAAACCTAAGGAATTTGCAGTTTCTTTGTGGCGATAAAAAGGTATGGCACGTGGAGCTGTGTGACGACGGGTTTAAATGCCACAGGCCCAGCATCTAGGACAAGACATGCATGCCATCAAAGAAAACTTTCTTTCTGCTGTCACTTCAGTTGCTTGACAAAATTCAGCAGCTTAGGGAAAGCTATTCCCTTTTGTGTATTCATTTCTAGTTATTAGGGTGACGGATAACTCTGGTAACTCTTTTATTAAGTAAAACTGAAGTATGTATACTCTTAGAACATCTCACTTTAGGCAAGAGAGCCTTAGAAATCAAGCTTGCTTCTGGAGTAGGTGGCTGTGGGGCTGCAGTTGTATGGCAGAGAGCTGTCTGGCCCTGACCCAGGCTGAACCTGTTGGATAATGTGAAAGATTTCCACCTCCAGGTCCCACCATCTGGTGGCTTCTCCAGGCTAAATCCGCTTTGAAAATGGGACTTAACTGCCTTTTGACCGGTTGCAGAGGGTGAGTGCTTGGCCCTTCAGGGATATGCACGTCAGCATAGGGCTGGCCCTTCTCCCCTGACCGCAGACACGAGCAAATGTACGAAAGGTACTCCATCTTTGGGGCATACAGTTTCCCTCTGGAAGGACCTGCAGCCGTGAGAGTCGTGGTATGCCGTCCTCAGGGATCTTAGAGGCCAGCAGGGAAGCAGGCACACAGGGGGCCGGTTGCACGCCTGGCTGACTGGAGCACCATGTGAGCCACACCCTCCCTGAGAGGGCCCTTCACTCAGGTGTCCACAGGTGGAGGTTTTGGTGCTGGGAGGAATTTTAATCTCTCCAGAGCAAACTGAAATACCCTTCTGCAGCCTAGAGTAGCTACATCCTAGGTAGGCATTTCGCAGGGCCCTTGCAGGGAGCCTCTAGGAACTGGGCTCTGAGGGAGCCCTGAGCAAGCCATCCGCAGGACTTGCTCTCAGTCGTGCTTTCAGAACTTCTACTGTCCTAAGGCAGCGAGTCGCTGAGATGGGGCGTTCCCCCCACCCCACCCCCACTGGCCTGAGCACAGCTCTTAACAACTCATGGCGTATCATGCAGAGTGGTTTTTACGCAGAATATGCTTTGGGAAGAAAAACTGGCTTAGATAAATGAAGGTGAGTGATATTTAAGTGACTACCAAAGAGAAATGAATCCTGTGAGAAAACAGAAAACCCAGTCTGAGCAACAATTGTCATGGAAGTGACAGCCCAGGCTGATTTTAAAAGATGGACTGAAGTATGGCTCTAAAGCAGTTTTCTTCCAGACAGAGGAACTTACACAATTTCTCAGCACACCTATTCCAGTGATGAGACGAAGTTTTCAAATCCCATCAAAGAAACAAAGGTTTTGATGAAGTGGATAGCCAGCTTGTCACCTGTGCTGTACCCTGAGTTGGCCCAAAGCTGATGGAATTTGTTATTCAGTAAGAGTCCTAGGAGAAAGTGACTGTCAGAAACACAGAGGAATCATTTTGATTTTTTCCCAACATTTTCTTTATCATATGGCTTCTTATTATAAAAATTTTCAAACAAAGAATTGCTGAAATAACTTCACAGTGGACTGTCATACAGCCATTAACTAGACTACGCAGTTAACATTTACTGAGCATGTCCTTTATCAAGTATCTATTCACCCCTCTATCCATTTTTTTATGCTTTCCAAAATATACTTTACTCAAGAGTTCAGTATTTATGTGTCTTTTCTGAGGTACGATATACATATAATGAAGTACATAAATCTTAAATATAGCATTTAATATTCTGACCAGCGCGTACATGTATAAATTTCCACCCTCACTCCCTCCTGAGGCAATACACTTCTAATTTTTTCTGCCATAAGTTAGTTTTGCCTTTTTATCCTCATATAAACAGAACCACGTGTGCCTTCTTCCACTTACCGTGAGGTTTGAGACTCATGCATTTTGTTGCACACAGCATAGTTCATTCCTTTTTATGGCTGAGTAACCTTTTTTTGTGTGAATATACCAGTTCCATCTGTCCATTCATCAGTGGAAGGGCATTTGAACTGTTTCCAGTTTTTGGCGATTGTGAATAAAGCCCAGGTTTTTGTGTAAACGTAAGTTTTTATTTCTCTTGAGTAAATGCCTAGGATTGGAATTGCTAGGTCATAAAAAAGGTATGTTTGATTTATGAGAAACTGTCAGACTTCTTCCCAAAGTGATGAACCATTTTACATTCCTCCCTACGGTGTATATGAGTAGGAGAGTTCTGGTTAATCCACAGCTTCACCAATACTTGGTATTATCTGTCATTTTAATTTTAGCCATTCTGATAGAGGTGTAGTGATAGCTCGGTGTGGTTTTAATTTAGATTCCCCCAGTAACTAATGATAGTGAGCACATCATAGTTGTCATGTGCTTATTGGCCATTCAGATATTTCCATTTGAGAAGTATCTGCTCAGTTCTTGTCCAATTTTTTAAGTAGGTTGTGTCTTTTTGTTACTGGCTTATAGGAGTTCTTAATGTAGCCTAGATATCAGTCCAATCTTTGATCAGATAAATGTTTTACAAATATTCTCTCAGTCAGTGGCTTGCCTATTCATTTTCTTAATGAATGAATGAATCTTTTGTTGAACAGAACTTTATAACTTTGATGAAGTCTTGTTTATCAATGTTTTCCTTTATGACTATTGCCTTCTGTGACCTAAGAGACTTTTGTCTACTGCACGTCACAAAGTTGTTCCCCTGAACTACAGTCTGAAAACATAAATGTTTTAGCTTTTACACTTAGGTCTATCTCAAATTAATTTTAGTGTATGGTATGAGATAGGGGTCAAGTTTCATGTTTCCATATGGATATCTAGTTGTTCCAGCACTGTTTATTGAAAAGACTTACCTTTCTCTATTGGATTACTTTGTTAAATGCCAGTTAAATTGGTTAATAGCAAAGTAAGTATCCTTGTTAAATATTAAGTGACTGAATAAGTATAGGTCTATTTCTGGGATCTTTAGTCTGTTTCTTTGATATATTTACCAATCCCTATGTCAATACCAAACTGTCTTAATTACTATAGCTTTATAGTAAGTCTTCAAATCAGGTTGTGTAAGTCCTCCAACTTTGTTCTTTAAGATTATTTTGGGCATTCTACATCTTTTGTGGCTCCATTTAAACTTATTAACTTCTGTGATAGAGATTATTGAATCTATAGATCAGTTTGGGGAGAATTGGCATCTTAATATTGAATCTTTCAATCCATGAACATGGTATATCTTCATTTATTTAGTACTTTAATTTCCCTCTTAATGTTTTGTAGTTTTTAGTGTAGAGGTTTTATACTTCTGTCAACATTATTCCTAGGTATATTCTGCTTTTGGATGCTATTTTTAAATGAAGCTTATTTTATTTTCTGGTTGTTTGCTGCATTTTATTTTCTAGTTGTTTGACCTTGCTAAATTCATTATTAGTTCTAATAGTTGTTCTGTAATTAAAAGTGTGTTTTGCAACCACAGAGTTTTACTTCTTCCTTTGCCTTTCTTTTTCTTGCCTTAATGCAATGGCTAGGACCTTCAGTACAATGTTGAATTGGTGAGAGTGAACATCTTCCTGCCTTGTTCTCAATTTTAAGAGAAAAGCATTCATTATTTCACTATTAAGTATAGTTAACTGTAGATATTTTATAGATGCCCTTTATTAGCATGAGGAAGTTCCCTTTTACTCCTAGTTTGATAAGAGTTTTTATCATGAATGGATGTTGAATTTTGTCAAAAGCTTTTTCTGATCTAGCAATCTTTGAGAATTGATTCCCTTATATACACAAACTTTTCTCCCTTTCCTCATCCTCCCATCACTATTCTAATGTGCTTAATTTTCCCTTTGTGTTTTAAAAAGTCTGTATTGTTTCTGAACGTGTATTTTTTATTTTACATGCATATGTGTACAAAAATATCTTTATATATAAAAATCCCCTTTTCCACTGAACTGTTTTTAAGGTCCATCTATGTTCTCTGGGTATACATTATCAAATTGTTAGTAACCTTATTGCACAGACACTCCCCTGCTGGGCACAGTTGCTCACACCTATAATCCCAGCACTTTGGGAGGCCAAGGCGAGAGGATGGCCTGAGCCCAGAAGTTTGAAACCAGCCTGGGAAGACCTCATCTCTACAATAAATTTAAAAAAAAAATAGCTGGGTGTGGTGGTGTGTGCCTGTAGTATCAGCTACTTGGAAGGCTGAAGTGGAAGAAGCACCTGAACCCTGAGCAGGTTGAGGTTGCAGTAGCCATGATTGTGCCACTGCACTCCAGCCTGACTGAAATTCTAACTCAAAAAAAAAAAAAAAAAAAAAAAAAAATCAGACACCCTCAAGTGCTCCATACTGAGGTACGGTAGATGAGGAATGAGTACAGAATATGTGATCAGAAGTAACTGTGGAAAACTGAGTCATTGATTGAGTCAGTAGCAAGAATGTATAGTTAGAAGGTGGTCTTGAGTGCAAATTCTGGATCCACCCCCTTCTGACTGTGATCTTGAGGAGTTACCTACCTTCTCTGAGCTTCATTTTCTCCTTAAAATGGGAGTGACACCTTCTGTGACTGTTGTGAAGATTAATCAACAAAATGAAGATTTAAACGTGGTCCCTAATAGGCTGTCACAAAACTTTAAATTTCTTTCTTTGCCCTGGGCTGGCCCTGGCAAAAGCGAGGGTGAACAATATGTATGTGGGTCAGCCCAGAGTTGCTAAGGCACACTCCACACAGAGGTGTTTTAGATTGGAGGTACCAGTTAAATAACTGTGTAGTGTGTAATATCAGTTTTTCCTTTTGCCCTCTGCAGGACAAAGTGGCCATGGAGAGTATGCCTCTGCTAGGTTTCACCATTGCCCCAGAAAAAGAAGAGGGCAGCAGTGAAGTAGGACCTATTTTTCACCTTTACCACAAGAAAACCTTATTTTATAGCTTCAAAGCAGAAGATACCAATTCAGCTCAGAGGTACCAAAATAACTTAGTCCTATACACCTTTTTGCCTCTCTCAAAAAAAAAACGAGTTGTCACCCAGGGCTTTTGCTTCTGTCCTGCTCCATCTGTTCTATCCCATCAAGTCTCTTTGGGCCATAACAGAACCTGTTCCTTGTTGCAAGAATGTTTAGACTGTTATGATTCATTCATATAGGCATGCATTGATTCAGTAAACTTTTGCACTGTGTTCTAGGCCTTTTTCTAAATATGGATAACATGTTTGGGCAACAGATATGAATATGGCATGATCCTTCACTTCAAACAAAGAGAAATCTAGTCCAAGTCACTTATAAGTTCTGTGACCTGTCACAGGCAGAGCCACAATACCAAGGGTCCTCTCTTCTGTTTTACAGGTGGATTGAAGCCATGGAAGATGCAAGTGTGTTATAGCATTTATCAAGCATGTGGACTCAGTATAAACTCTTAGGTTGATATGTGAACCCTTATAGAAGTTAATCCATCTCTCAACTCATCCGGACACACATCTGGATTCAGCATGGGCCTTGACCTTTTTTGCAGTAACCCCGCCACACACATCCTCAGGAGTGGAGCCCTTAAGGAATATTTATGGACTTCTCTTCTGTCTTCATGTTTTCCACCCCACCAACCCCACCTCCTGTCATAAACTATTTCCTTATCCTGCAGTGAGTTACCAAATGTAGTATCATGAAGATGTGAAAACCACTAGAAAAGTACATTTAGAAATGCAGGTTTCTAGTAGAAACAAGCTTTTACAGTTTTTACTTATGGTAAATCTTACCATCTTTCATAATGTTGATTGTGGTGCCTCAGGTGAAATGAGAAACAATCAGTAACAGCTATTCTCATCAAAAGCACTTTATTGTTTCTGAGCTGAAACCTCCAATTTTGTGTTTTCCAAGTGATTTACTTAAGTCAGTAACAGATGGAATCCTGCGGACTAATCTGCCACCAGTCCTCTAACAAGGGTATACATAAAATGAACTTGTGCAGACCTGGCTGTGGCTTGCCAGTGCATAAGCACACATCACTGCAGAGGGGCCATGCCCCATTAGATAGGCAGGGGAGGATCTGCTCCTCAATGGATCATGTGACCTGTATACTAACATAATTTATTGAAGGAGGGACTCCCTCCTTCCCACAGTAGTCCTTAACACTACACCAGTGTTGGAAACTCAGCCACTGGCAGATCTGGCCTCCCCAAGGTCACCAAGGGCCCTCTGAAGAGTCAGAGTCTGCTTTAATTTATTGTGTGCCTTCCTTTGTTTACCCCCACTAGAGCTGACAGCATTGTTTATGAGAACCTATCCTTATTTTAGATACATGGTAATCTTTGGATTGCATTACTTTTTATTTTTTGAAAGAGAAAACAAGATATACTCAGAAGGTGAATTCATGGTCTTGGCAGATGGCTCTAGACACAGTACGGGGACACAGAGGTAGCGGCTTGAAGATATTCTCTGGGCACCTGTAGCTAAATCACCTCCCACAGATGACTCGCTCATGATGCTGGACAGTTTTTTACATAATGGGAGTGGAGGGGTGGGGGGTGGGCTTCATTACTCTTATTGCAATAAAAATCATATCATTGTCTGATACTCTGTCCCATTCTCCTGCTGCACTGTTTCCTACCAAAAAAAGACATTTACTGATGAACTTTTATGTAAAAAATCACATCTTGAAGATGTTTATATTTAAATGGGCCTACTCCCCAGGCAAGGGGAGTTTTCCGAACTTGCCTTGTACCACCGCCTATCATCAGTTTCTGAGTTCTAGATAGAATTATGTGTCTGAGAGTAAAAGAGGACTCTTTTACTTCATAACATCCTATTTTTGATGCTATAGAAACAAGAGATGATAGGGCTTTTGTTTCTCAGTGAATAGTTACTCTGATAAAAATGCCCGCATTATAGATGACACACACTGGATGAGTTTTGAATAAGGAAACCAGCAGGGACCACCAAGATCCTCCATAGCTCATGTGTGACTGGGCAAGGACCCACCTGTTTTATGTGGACCTTGTTTTAATTGTCCTTCCCATGGTTCTCATGTACTTATTTCAGATTAATTTCTGCTGCCTGACTTTGCTCATTTTTCCTTCCCTGCCCTTTTCTTCCAGTCCGTTCTGCACATTCATGTCACCCACCTGTCCATGGGGCCTGCCCAGCGCAACAGGGAAGGAAGCCACCCTATCTGATCCAGAGGGCACTTCTTCCCACTGGGCCCAGATGCTGGAGAAAAGATGAGCTGTGTGTAATGTGGCAGTGATGCTGCCCAAAGCCCCTCGTGATAACTGCTCTGCCCCTCTGTTCCCCAGGCACAGAGCAGCCCCTCCATTGCATACCCAGCAAAGGCTACATTTATCAAGAAGAAACAGCCCTGTGTCAAGCTATGGCCTAGAAATGAGAAAACTTGGGCCCTAGGCAAATCACTAACTCAAGTAGCTCTAAGCCTCAGTATCTTCTGTCACCTGGAGATCATTCTGGCCTTTCCCACGGGTTGAGGGAGAAAGGTGCAGATCAAATGTTTGTGAAAGTGGTCTGAAATTAATAAACTGGTGGACCAGAAGGACACAGTGTTATTATACAAAGCAAAAATAGTCATGGGCTCTGCTCTTTAACAATACAGAACAGGCCGGGCGCGGTGGCTCAATCCTATTATCCCAGCACTTAAATCAAAAAATCGGCCAGGCATGGTAGCGCGTGCCTGTAATGCTGGCACTTGGAAGGCTGAGGCGGAAGGAATGCCTGAGCCCAGCAGGTTGACGCTGGGGTGACCATGAGTGTTCCACTGCACTCCAGCCTGGGTTACAGAATGAAACCCCGACTCAAAAAACAAACAAAAAAAAAAAACAGCAACAACACAGAACAAAGGCAACATGTACAAGACCTTCCTCCTTATCCATGAAAACGGCAAAGGAGAAACCCGGGCATGATCAGGTAAACTCCTTTGGTCCCCTCTCATTTATTTTAATTACCTCTCAGCAAAACACAAAGCTTTGCAGAGTTGGCTTCTGCCAGCTTCTCATAATCAATAAAAGTCTATAACAAAACCCAGGGTTTTATTGAAAATAGGCAGCACTCATTGTACGTGATACTGGCTTCACACCTTCCCTGCAGACTAGATTTGTTTCTTCGGTCTGATTTGGTCTTGGTAAGCAGGAGGAATCCTGTTCCTTATGCTAATACAAAGCACACCAGAAACATACACAGTAGTGTCAGTGGATATTGAGTTCCTGAAGCCCAATTATTTTACATATAAGAAATAGGCTCCATGTTTTTCTGGTCAAGTTGACTAGCTAATAGACTGGTTCTCCCTTGGATGCAGCCTGGGCCTGGATTAAGGTGTGGAATGAGGGACTTCATCCGCTCTTTGGGCATGCACCACGGAGACTAGTGCTGAGGACCCTGGCAGAACTGCTGCAACAGTTAAAAGGTGGCATACTTAGTTTCTTCGTCTAGTCTAGCCTTTCATTTGCTTGATGGTGTAATGTCATCACTGAAACACGGAAGCCCTAGGTGAGGACTGAGGCCACCTAGGCTGAGGTGGTTAGGACCAGGCTTGGAATCTGAATTTCTTTTGATACAGGATGGTCAACAACATGCTGGAATATTCTGTTAATTGATTCAGCCTGTTTTGTGGCTGCTTCTACAATAGTGAAAACTTCAGTGTTACCACACAGTCATGGTCAGTAGAGAGGACAGATGTCTCCACAATAAGATGTCTGTTTTCAGCAGCGAAGTAAATGAAAACCGCTCAAACTGGTTTAAACAATTTGGAACCTAGTTCAACAAGAGGTCCAAAAGCAGGCGAGTTTGTTTTTTTCCAACCTGCTGTGCAAGATCATCATGTTTCCAGGGTTAGTTCTCAAAAGGTTGATCACTGACTGCCACTGATAATTGAGACTACACTATAGGCTTTCCACTCACAGCCACCGAGAAAAAGCTTGGTTTCCTAAAGCTAGCTTTTTCTTAGAGGGACCCAGCAGGCCCTCTCCACCTCCACAGGTCCATACTTACATATACCTGCCCACTCCTGAGCCTACTCACTGGAAAAGGGACCACTGTAATTGACATAGATCAGTCAGCTAGAGGGAGGAGTGGTATGGCTGCTGGGGATTCACGAACAGTGTTCATTCTCTGGACCAAAGACTATGGTTTGGATTACTATAATGCAAGGGCTATGCCTTGGCATGTAGTTTTGGGGATGATGTGTGATGCAATACTTACAGTGCAATTATTTGGGCATCTATTATACGTGCTTGCTAAATATTATGGTAAGTGGTTTTGGGATGGCAGATTTGATATTGATCTTTGAAGCTTGTAATCAAATACAACTGTTAAATCAGTAGCGAAACAGTACTGACCTCTCACAGGCTCTTAGGAGACTTCTGTATGATAATTAACAACTAGCAACAAATAAGTGCCTAGTGCATTAACCTTGTTATTTCATTTAATTCTCCCAAAGACTTGCTGAGGTGAGTTCTATTACTATCCTCATTTTGCAGATGAGGAAACTGGGGATTAGAAACATCAGGTCCCTTCCCCAGGATCACATACTCATAATTGGCAAAGCCCACATTTGTAACTGCTATATTGCCCCTTTTGAATGTGTATGAGCTGATTCTGGGAGTAATTTTCTGACCCTTGCAATGTGAATTCCCTCCTAAAGCTAACAAATCTCTGGCTGCAGAGGACCAATCAGTAGGAACTTTTCCTCCGAAATCGGAATAAACATGACACTGAGCCTCACTTTTGCATTTCATTATCTCAGCAAAAATATTAAATTTAATCAAATAATATACAACCTATACACATAATCCAAAATATATATAAAATATATAATGAATGTTAATTTTTTTTTTTTGAGTTGGCATCTCACTCTGTCGCCCAGACTGGAGTGCAGTGGCCGCTCCCGGCCACCGCAGCCTCGACCTGCTGGGCTCTGGCGATCCTTCTGCCTCAGGCTTCAAAGTCGCTGGAACTACAGGCGCACGGCACCACGTCCAGCTAATTTTTTGATTTATTATAGAGATGAGGTCTCACCAAGTTGCCCAGGCGGGTCTCAAACCCGCGGGCTCAGGCAATCCATTCACCTCAGCCTCCCAAGGCGTGGGATTACAGGCTGAGCCACCGAGCCTGGCTGTTAACAGTTTTTTTAACATTTACTTCTAGTGTTCAATAACTGACATTAGGATAAACACTCATAGGAGTTTTTAAGTGACTTCATGGATTTAGCAACATTTTTCTCATATATGAGGACAGAGCAGAATTTCTATGATGAATTTATAAACAATAACCTAATAAACTGACAGATTACTTGCTACAGATTATCTCATCCAAAATGCTTGGGTTCAGAAATGTTTTGGATTTAGGATTTTTTTCAGATTTTGGAACATTTTCAGATATTTCAGCAGTTGAGTATCACTAATCCGAAAATCCAGAATGCTCTAATGAGCATTTTCTTTGAGCATCACATAGGCACATAAAAAGTCACAGACTTTGGAGTATTTCTGATTTTGGATTTTCGGATTAGGGATGCTCAGCCTGTATTCCCAAATTCTTAAAAACTCACACTGTGTATGAAAAAACAGCCGGGCTCAGTGCCTCAACCTGAAATCCCAACACTTTGGGAGGCTGAGATGAGTGGACTGCCTGAGCCCGCAGGTTTGAGACCCACCTGGGCAACTTGGTGAGACCTCGTCCCTACAATAAATCAAAAATTAGCCAGGCATGGTAGCACGCGACTGTAGCTGCAGCTACTTGGAAGGCTGAGGCAGAAGGATCGCCAGAGCCCAGCAGGTTGAAGCTGCGGTGGCCGGGAGTGGCCACTGCACTCCAGTCTGGGTGACAGTAAGACTCCAACTCAAAAAAAAAAAAAAAATCTAAAGTTTATGGCTAACATGTTCTATATGAGTTGACAAGAAGTCAGTTGGGAAGGAAGCCATCATACCCCTACCATACCAGTTCTAAAAAGAAGAGCGTATACTTATTCATAGAACACCTCAATATCGTGGGGAATGTCCAAGGGAGGGAAGCTATTTTCAAAAACGAAATCAAGACACTGCAAGCAATGCACAACCCAGAGCCTGTGGATCATGTGAGCCCGAGCAGTGGGTCTGGGGCGAGAGACCAAAAATTTACAACATACTACAACCAAAACAGGGCCACTCTACCAAAGCTGTCCCAAGAGTAACAACCAGAGGGAGAGTTTAGCCCTGGGGACTGCCTCAAGGAGGTTCAAACTCAAGTGTAGCTCAATTTCCCCATGCATGCTTGACCTCAGGCTTCTCCGGTGGCCCATACCCCACCTCCTGGGGAGGTTCCCTCTCTGCAGGTAATGTGGTATAGGGCCTAGTTTCTGTAACATCTAGTTTCTGTAAGTACCTCAAGAGATTCTGCTCACAGGCAGGATGGGGATGGGGAGGTGAGGGAGGAGAATAGAGGAGGTGGTAACTCGGCCACCATGAATGTTAAGTAAAAACTTAGTGATCTCAGTTTATCACTAGATTGTCAGTTTGTGGTAGAAGCACACAACGTATGTCCAGAACAGGAAAAGTGAGACTGGAGAGTGTCTGAAAATGATGTTATAAAGCACG